TCCTGACCTTCCTCTGCTTCGCTTTAGTTATTTATCGTGTCCAGAAATTTAAATTCATTGCTGTTATGATATTTCTTTTATGTTTCCTTGAGTAAATGTTTATGCTAAGACATCTTGTTTAACCAACAGGGGTCACATAGAAGGAAGGCACTATCAACATCTGACCGCAACTTAGAAATCCTAAACCGAGTGATGGTTACAGCACTAAACACATTAGACAGTCCCGCGGATGCTGTAGTAGCAAGTAAAGTGTGTATTTAAGAGCTAAACGCGGTCTGTCAGTGGTTCAGGAAAGTCTTAAAGTACAGCTCAAGACAGGAATCAATGCCCTTGAGGAGTTTGTCGAGGTTTGTTCAATCAGTTAAGAAGAACAAAGAAAATCATTTCCGGTGTCTGTCCCGTCAATCACGTCGCCCAAAGTGTCACACAAGCTATATGCAGTAGGAGTTTACGAGTGTAGCGAAATGTCGTGGGTCGAGGGTAGTGGGTAGAGGTCATGGGTCGTGGGTCGTGGATAAAAATTGAAAAAGAAAAAAAAATGAAAAGAAAGAAAGAAATGAAATGGAAGTACAGCTGTAAAATTACAGCCTAGATCAGACTTATGTTTATGAAGTATTTCAAATACACACCAATCTCCTCCCCCACTCCCATAGTCAGTTAGTCAAAAGGCGGGTCAGCAGAATACAGGGTCACCACAAAGGCTTTTTTTTCGCCTTGACAGGCTAACACTTTAATATTTGAGAGTGGATCTCTTTTAATTTAAAGTAATGACATTAAATCATTGCAGCAAAGATTTGCCGCTCAAAATTGAAAAAAAGGGCCTAAAGAAGCATGTCGGTTCCGTTTTCAAGCTAACGAGATATGTTTCACACACTTCATTTTTTCAAACGACGATACACTCGACAAACACTCACCAGTGTTAATCTATATAGCTAAGAAAACGAGAAAAATATTTTGTAAGGCAATATCGTTGGCTTTAACGTAGGTTAAATAACAGAACGACCGTAATACAAATCTTTCCGTTTAAGTCATTTTATTATATGGCCAATACTCGTAGCCGATATAACGCGAGCTATGATTGGCGAAGTGCTTGAGCATTACTCATCTCCCGTTATCAACACGGGCCGTTTTCGGATTATTTAGGGAAAAAAAGCCGATTTTCTTATAACGCCATGTAATAAACTAATTTTTAAACTTGAACGTTTAGTCTTTTCGGCAAAATTTCAAATCTCGGCCTCGCTGTATTGACCCGGCAGGGATCTTTTTAACACCACCGTGGAAAAGAAGAAGGGCAGTACGCAATCCAGATTTTGTAAAGTATGCAAAGAAAACAAAGAAAACAAAGGAAAACTTTTGAACTGTTTCTTCTGTAGGTTTTTTTCTAGAGGCATTAAGTTTTAAGAAAGTATGTTCGTATAATCCTAGTAATAGTATGTGTAAATATTATTATAAATAAAACTACCGGAAAAAAATCTGTGTTGAAATCTGTTCCGGGGGATTTAGCAAAGTAATAACAATGATCTGCAGTGGATTAGTCACTACCATCGAGTAAGCTTTAATATCAACAACGTATTCACCGATTTCTTCTTTTTCTATATTAATACAAGTTTGCTTCTTAATAGAGGCTGTGGCTTTAAAATCAATCCCCGTTCCCCGCTCCCCGTTCCTGCATTTGGTATTAGAAGTCTTTATCAAAAGATCGGATACAACATACGTGGGGCTTTACAACAACATCCTGAACGGATGCACTGATGTTTCCGCTATAACATCTGCCGTTTTCGGGGAAGGGGGGAGTAGGGTGTTGATTAGTTAGATCTCTCAAGTCGAGTGAGACCTCGGGAGGGTGCAAAGTGCCCGAGAACTCCCCCCTCCCACGTTTGCTTCTTTGGCAAACTGCCCTTCTGGTGTCCGTTTATTCTGTGGGACCGCCTTTTCGTGAAATTGGGGCGGGATGAGGGAGGATGGGGGTTAAGTGTGTACTTAGCGGGGGCACATCTTTTCACATATTTTTTCACTTTCTTTTTTAATTTTTTTTACCCAAGACATTTTAATTCATTCCCAAATATTGAAATGTTAGCTTGTCAAGGCGAAAAGAAAACCTGTGAAGTGCCCAAAGGCCTTTCTGGTGATCCTGTGTTCTGTAGATCCGCTTTTCAACTGACTGTGGAGGTGGGGGAGGGGATTGGTACGTAATTAAAATATTTCATAGAAATGAGTCTGATCTTGTAATTTTATAACTGTACTCCTTTTTTAGTTATTTTTCTGTTCTTTTTTTTTTAATTTTTTTTTACCCACGACCTTAACCCATTGCCCACGACCCACGACATTTAGCTATACTCGGAGTCTACTGCTCCTGGAATGGCTCACAGTTGATACAGGACAGGAGAAAGGTGACTCGCTGCATGACGTAAGGCGTTGTGTAAAAAGGATATAGAGCATCGTGATGTATCATGGATACTTGATCAGGATGGTGTAGGGAGCACTGGATATGAATGATCCGTGTGACATCGTTACCAGCTCACGTGGGCAAAATATTGAAGTAGACTGTGACTTGACAATCAAGGTGTTTGACAACATTGGCAAGTTTGAGAAATGTTTCAGAATTCCAGCTTTTCTCGCTGACAATGAAAATATAAGAAGCAGTCTTAAAAACAGCGGTTGTCTGGATTACACTTTGTACATAACCTCTATGTTAATTATATACATTCTGATCGTATCAGACGCTGACATAATAGTGTTTATAGCTGAACTGGATGGCAACTCTTTAGTTTCGTCTTGTCAACGCCATTATTAAGATATTCGAAAGGGGAAAGTTTCTAGCATGATTACTGCAGGAATATTGGCTCTCTGAAACGGGACTCGTTTTTTCGCATGAAGAGACACCTATTACTCAGTGAGCCTAACAGTTTCAAAAAGAGGTCAGTGATTGTTTAATTCACGCCTCTGAAGGCGCACTGATACAAAAAAGGAACCTTGGCGGTTAAAAATCAGTGAGTGGAATGCAGACCGGGCAATGTAGTAAGTTGTTTTAAGGGTTTCCGACAAGCAACAAAATCTAACAAGAGTACAATACATAACAAACTCATCTGTGACCTTAGTTTCTGATTCCTTAGTTTTTGTTTCCTTTAAGTAGTATAAAGATCGAAATAAGTCTTTGGGTAATGCTTTAAACAATTCTGGGATAATGAAAGCCAAAGAAAAAAAGAATAAGGTCACTTTGATAGCTACTTTGTATTTCTTGTGTTGTTTGTAAGTTTGTGTTTATTGTTTGGGTCACGGTACATAAGGCATTGTCATCATGTGCGTATTCACAATTTTTCATATATAAAATTGAGACAGTTCATCGTGCATGGCACATCAGAGTTCGTTAAATTGTTCTTTATTTTCGGCGTGAAAAAGTGAACCAGAAGATTAGGAGCAGAAGATGGGGAAAGAACACCTGGTGTACATATAGCTACGAGAGTATTTCTCTGTCGTTCTGAAAGTTATTTTCCCAGTGATATCCATTTGGGAGGGGTGACACTCTCTGTAATGCTGTATACATCGCTATACGTTCAGTGTTACTTTAATAAAGCAAAACAAAATTTAAAGAAGAAAAAAAAACCGAAAAAAAATCTGGCCGGTCAAACTCGGTCAATAAGTATTTTAACTTATGACATGACCTTAAGTGATGAAAATTTCCAAAATTTTGTTTCAACCTAAATAGGACGCGATACGCGGGCGCACGTGGGACAACCACAAACAAAATTCGAGATTCCTTTAAGTTTTTTGAGTCAGAACAAGAAACTCACAGTTTTATTTCCTTATCTTGCGATGTAATCGTTGATGTTATGAAGAGCAATAACTATTGTTGATAGGTTAAACTTACTGTAAAAAGAAACACGCTGCTGAAAAAGTTAAGAAATTGGTGTTGTGTTTTGCTCTAAGGGGCTTGCCTTGTATTTTCACTTTGTAATCATCTGATTACATTGCACTACTTACTGATGCATAAAACACTCACAAGCGGCTAACAGCTGTGATGTGCATGAGAGACATATTATTCATAACAAAATATACGTTATGTTCCGTTGCCTTCCTTTGTGAACTGTAAAGTGCAAAGCTGATAACGATATCTGGTTTGAAGTCATGATTCAGTGTATGGGTTTGAGTCTATAAATAAAAGCAAGTCTTTCAACCTCTAGGTTCACACGGCTCGCTTTGCAGCCCATGCTGTGAGAAGGGAATCCAATGATACTAGAAGTAAATTAAATCGTAAGTGCGTGAGACCGAAAAATCCGATGAATAGCCAATTACAAATTTGGTTGAAGGAACCTGTTTCAGCTGTAGTTGTGGTGTAACAGCTATTTACGGGTAACAAGGTAAAGAAAGAACTATAATTGAATAAAAGAACTCCAAAAAGACATTACAACTCAGAACAAAGCTGACATTTAACAAAGATTAACGAACATCTATCATCCTTTTTTGCCTCGGGCATCGAACAACATTTCCACTGAGAAGTCAAATGATGCTGGGACGTGGGTAAAATTTTTCAGTACCCAATAATCACGAATAACATTTTATTAAACAAAACACTTTTCAAAAAGAGCTTTAAGTTGTACTTTTGCTGATACCAGTCAGGGATTTCTGATGCTAACATTATGATTCGTTGGCGAAAGGAATACCTTAAGACCACAACAACCTATTCAAATGTCGCAGCGGGCAACACAGTCTTTTTCTAGGAAAAGTATGTTTTTCAACAAAGGATTATTTTGAAGAGGCTATAAATATTCACGCCTTGATTCCTTGATGGCCTTCTCTTTGTTATGTTTGTTTTGTTTCTCTTTTTGGCCTGACCGCAATTCTTATTCCAGAATTGCAATCAGTCGTGAAACTTTGCCATCATTTGCTATTTTTACGTTCATCAACACTTGCTAAGTTGCTTATTGAGAAGATTCGCTGAAAAAAGCTCCCAATTTCTTCTGATTACTAAGTTCCAGGCTGCCATTATGTTTTGGTTAATCATGGCAGTTTTTAAAGTGATTGTTTGGTGGCTTGTGGATAAAAGCAGAAATGCAGTAGCAAAAAAGCTTAAAGATGGCGACGTAGCAGATCAACAGGTTCGCGACATCATCATAGGTAACATCAACGCCGTAAAGTCCAATCTGGATGCATTATCAAAGAGAGATTTGTTAGCAAGTATTCAATTCTTTAAAGAAGGAATCGAGTTGCTGTATGATGCAATTGAACAGACAAGGCCAAGGAATGAGTATGGCGCGGATACAGAACAAGCGGCCTGTGAGGAATTTGTGTCGCTCGTTGAAAGAACGGGGCGAAACTTGGAGCTTACTAAATCTGGTAGAAGACAGCTTAAAAATGCAAAGAAGAGATTCAGAAAAGCTCGTGAAGGAGCAACAGTTGCTTTTTCAAATCCAGCGCTATCTATAACTGACCGCATCTTAGCAATGCATTTTCGATTGATGGCAACAGTATTAGAAACAATAGATCATCCCAAGGATGCTGTAACACCATATAAAGTGTGTATTGAAGAGCTAAACGCTCTGCCAGTGGTTCAGCAATGTCTTAAAGAACAGTTCAAGACAGGAAAAAAGGCAGTGAGGGGTTTATTTAAAAAAGGAAAACGACGGAAAGTTATTACCGGTGTCTATCTTGCTAATGTTATCGCCCACCAAGTCAGACAAATAGTATCCGTTAAAGAACTATTGCTGCAATGGTCCATGATTAATACAGGAAAGGAGCAAGTTGATCTGCTGCGAGACCGGAGAGTAACAAAAGTACTTTGTAAACAGGATATGGAAAACTGTAGTGTATCATGGATACTTGGTCAAGATGGCGAAAAGGAGTACGGGTTAAATGATCCGCGTGCTATCGCTACCAACTCAAGCGGGCAATATATTGTAGCAGACAATGACTTGACAATCAAGGTGTTTGACAACAGTGGCAAGTTTGTGCGACATTTCAGACTTCCTTCTCTTATTGATCAAAGCGGTAAAGAGCCATCGATTAACTCCGAGCATGTTTGTCTGGCCACAGACATGAATGACAACGTTTATGTGCTGGTTAGAGAAGAGAGTCGTGGGGACTCATACTGGATTTTTTCGTTTAAAACTGCTGACCAGCATCACAGGTTTCGTGTCAGGACAATGGGCTTCGACTTTTACGTGCTTAAACTGTCAGTCAGTGATAATGGTAAGGTGGTGGTACTGAAGGGTAACTGGAAAAGGGGATATTATATTGTGGATGTATATGAGACTGATGGTCAATTCTACTGTAGTTTTGGAGAACAAATATTTAGGAACCCGTGTGCAATCACTACTGTAAATAATGGCAGAGTTATAGTGATGGAAGAAGGGGATCCGACATATGTTCACATATTCAGCGAACAAGGTGACCATCTAAAGAAATTTAAGTTGTTCTGTAAGCGCTTAAACTGGGATTCTCCAAAAATTGCATTTCACAGGGGAAGTAAACAAGTCGTCGTGGTCGGTAGCAAGGGACAAACTTCAGTCGTGTGTATAGATACCAAAGATGATAAGTATGTGCAAAGTACTGTTTTCCATATGAGTGAGTCCTTTACTCCTTATGGGATTGCAGTGACCACTGCGGGACACATTGCAGTAGTAACCGGGTTTACAGGTTCACCAAGAAAAGTAACCATCATTTAAAAAAACGCACTGATTTTCCCTTCTTACTTGTACGTTTAGTTTGCCAACTAATTATTATTAACGATAAATTGGTGCTTTGCATCAATGATCATGCAATTAACATAATTAGTACAATGCCTTTATTTTTCACACGGCATGATGTAACTAAAGTTTCATACCCAAAATGAGAGCTTTTATAGCCTCAATTTATCAACTTTTGATGCGTTGGAATTTAATCGAAGAAATGCGATGCAGTTTAGCAATTTTCTTGGAAAATAAGTATTAAATCATTGATGGAGATGTGATGGTTATTTGACAATCAGCCTTGCGGTCCTCACCTCTTTAGATGTAATAATAAAATTACACGTTGTAACTGCCGTATATCTCCTTGTAATGCGAGGATATATATTTTTTTTTTATGTCACGCCAAAGTGACACGTCTGACACAGCAATAAGCTGAGATATTTGATTATTCTTATTACTTGTTTACTGGATAATGTATGGATATTGTAAGGAGAAGTTGAATGTGATTATCTTCTGTGAGTGAAAGGGGTTGATATCCAGTCTCTCTTACATGCATGTGCTTCATATTATATTTCAATCATGGTGTTCCTATCTTTCGATAATGTTAACATTAGCCTTTAACTGTCTTTTAAGCATAAGGCGTGGACAGTTACTGCTGTGATAGGCCCATGTTTGCTTGAGTAGTTTTAAACACCTGTGTTTTTCCTGTCGAATGTTTCATTAATCAAATTAAGTATTTTATTTGGTTGCTGTTTCCTGTGAGACGATTCTCAAACAAGAGCGGCAAATTTCCGCAATGAACTTTGCCGCATGACAGATTTAGATGGTAAAAAATAAGTATAATGATTCTTCGAGATTAAATCAAACTTGTCGGAAAATGCTTTTTATTTCATAGCTGGCAGATCACGTGGGTGAGATGATGCGAGTCCTTTCAGTCTGTTTGGCTACTCAAGCAGGCAAGATGGAACTTTTGCCCGCTAATGAAAAGTGTAATTTTTTTGTATCTAGTGGAAACTGAAATATAATCAATCATCAGTAAATCTTACCACTTGATGAATTTGTTCTTGTTTTCCCTTAGGTACCTCTTTCTCATATGATGTCGATGAACTTCAAGTATAACTCTTGCCCCACAGCCTCCAACTTCCCGTACCACATTCTCCCACCTCCCGTTGTTTTGCGGCCCCTTGCTTCTCAGCTCTCACCCTTTTTTGTATTACTCCCGTCTTCAGTTTGATAAAAAGGACTATCAATTCAACTAACTGCGTACCATCATGTTTAATTTTCACTCTTCGTCGGAAGTAGCTATAGTCATGAGCTATATAATAGCTAGCTCCAACGAATGATTCGTATTACTACACATCCATTGTTAAACCGTTTGCACTTTTGAGTGTTCAGTTTAAGCGCTTACAGACCTTTATTGCACATTATTGTTCGGTTGGTCTCGGAATCACATTTTAAAACTATTGGGATCTATTCGAGAAATTGAAGTATTTTTAAAACCTCTCCAGAAAGGTTTAAAAATTGTTCATACATTCTATGATACATTTATTGACCAGCAGTAAGATTCAGATGTGATTGTCTGATTTTAACAAAAGGATTTGCAGAAACGAGGTCTACTTAGGTCTAATTTTTCATTGCCACATACAAAAAACACTGGGGCTGTTCAATATGGTCTTGGACGACGTTGGAACTAACTCGCTTTTCTCGCTGAATAATTCCGACTGCTCCGACTGCTGGAGAAATGGGCTCGTGGTAAATTGGAAGATTCACGACCGTGACTTTCTGGGAGATCTTTTCTTCTGAGCCATCTGCTTGCGAAAGTGAACGTTTTATCATAAAAAACCTCCATATCAAAAGATAAACCGCGTTTATTCCGCTGTTTATTCAGCTGGGAATATTCGACAGTTCCGATTTAAGTTCCTCACATGAAGGGTTCAAAGATTTCCCCACCCCTTCGGTAGGGAAGACCGTCATATGGGCATCAACCAGTCTATGGTGGGATTTATAATGGCAATAGGACCGAGTGGAGCCCAATTCGGTCTGTAATCAAACGGGTGATTGCCAAAATCGGACGACCGCCAAGCGGGAGTCCGACTTTTAATCACGAGTATGATTACAGGTAGAATTGGACGACACGTAGACCTGTTACCAATTAATCAAAACTATGATAAAATTCGAGAAAGAAACTAGGTCAGATTAGACATCGGGTATACGTCTTCATAAAACGTATAGCATAGATGAAACAACAGTTAACTCGGCGAAATGCGAGACAACAGCGCGTGCCCATGACGTGTTCTCTCCACTTACACAGGTATGACGTGTTAACTGTCTCTATTACATTGTCCAATTACAAGCATGATGCGTACACTGTTCTATTAGTGCTCTAATAATATACATGGAAAAATTACTTAGTTCTGATTGGTTAATATAAATGCAGTTTTCAGGTAATTCAGTGCAGAAGAGAGTTAATTGAGTGCAGAAGAGGGTTAATTCAGTGCAAAGAAAGAAACAAATCAGACATTCTAATTGGTCAATAATCAAAGAAACTCACAGATAACAAATCAAATGCGAGCCTTGGATGTCGCAACAAAATTTGAAAATTTGAAAATTTGCGAGCGAAACAATGGCCGGTGTTTTAAGTAGGCTTTCTTTTGCCACTGCAGCTGAAAAACAGCTTAAACAACGACAACACTGTAAAAAGCACTGCTTTTTGGTTGTCGGTTTGGAAAAAGTGGTGTTTAGAGAAGGGAATTTAGTGTTAACACCTGGGTTGAAAACGTAAATTAGCCACCGTAAAGGGTAAAAAAGCTGACGTTTCGAGCGTTAGCCCTTCGTCAGAGCGATTAGAGGAATTGTGGGTTGTGTGTGGATTTATATGTAGAAAGTGGAGCTACGCCATTGGTGGGAATGTGGTGACGAGAAAACAGGAATAAATTAGTTGAATGAAAAGCGCTCGTTGATTCCGTGGGGATTAAGGGTGCCGATTTGGAATATAAATTTTTGTTCTAGTGTTTTACGGCTTTCCGAACTGCCTAGATGTAAGGAAAGGCCGCAAACTGCCATATGCTGTTTAGAATGATAAGGAAGATTAAAGTGTCTAGCGACTGGTTTGGATGCGTCCTTGTCATTTCTTTCCACATCGCGAAGGTGTTCTCGGAATCGGTCACCCAGTCGTCTTCCTGTTTCGCCGATGTATAACTTATTGCAATAAGTGCAAGTTATGCAGTAAGTAACATTGGTAAGGTACACGTAAAGTGATCAATGATCTTAATGGATCTTTTGGGTCCCGATATTTTCTCTACGTTATGAATGAAAGGACAAGTTTTGCATCGTGAGCGAGCGCATTTAAAAGTTCCAGACTGGTCATAGGTTTGAAATGAACTCCTGACTAAAAAGTTGCCTATGTTTTTGTCACGTTTGAATGAAATGAGTGGGGGTTGCGAAAAGATAGTGCCAGTCTCTGAATCGTTTTGGAGTAATTTAAAATTTTTAAGAATGATAGATTTAACTGCGTGGTTGTGAGGGTGAAATGTAAGAGTAAATGGAATGCGGTCATTGTTCTCCTTCTCGGCCGTTTGTAGTGCTGCCTGTCGATCGATTTGTTGGGCACAGTGATAGCCCGCTTGAACGACAGAAACAGGATAGCCGCGTTTATCGAAAAACTGGCACATTGCCTCTGATTTTTCGGAAGGTAGTCTTCACTACATAAACGACGAAGTCTGAGAAACTGTGAAAAAAGGTATGGAGTTCTTGACGTGTGATGGATGTGAGGATGAATGCAACAAGTAACTATGTGAATCTGTAGGTTTGTAGTAAACACTAGTACATAAGCCGTTGCCTTCAATTGAAATTTTGATGTCTAGAAAAGCCAAAGAAGTGTCGGAAATTTCCCAGGTATATTTAAGAGCCGGATGAAAGGAATTGACGGCGGTTATAAATTGAGTGAGCTCCTCCTTGGTAGAGGAGGTAGCGCCGATGCAATCGTCAATGTAGCGGCCGTAGAGTTGAGGTTTTGGGCCGTGGTATTGGCTAAAAAATTGATGTTCTATAAAACCTACAAAAAGATTGGCGTAGCTGGGTCCCATTTTAGTACCCATGGCCACGCCATTAGTTTGTTTGTAGTAGTTACCATCGAATGAAAAACAATTGAGTGTGAGTACTAGTTCGGCCAGGCGGAGTAGTGTTTCAGAGCTAGGTTCCTTAACAGTGCGTAGATCAAAAAAATGTTTGAGGGCCCGGAGGCCGAAATCGGCACCCTTAATCCCCACGGAATCAACGAGCGCTTTTCATTCAACTAATTTATTCCTGTTTTCTCGTCACCACATTCCCACCAATGGCGTAGCTCCACTTTCTACATATAAATCCACACACAACCCACAATTCCTCTAATCGCTCTGACGAAGGGCTAACGCTCGAAACGTCAGCTTTTTTACCCTTTACGGTGGCTAATTTACGTTTTCAACCCAGGTGTTAACACTAAATTACCTGCTATACTCTCCCACCGACGCAGCAACACAGTTTCTTTAGAAACTTACCCCTTTATTCATTTAGAGAAGGGAATTGCCGAGGTAATCGAAAATTACGAGCCGACCCAGCTTAACACTTTGCTCGAGCGATCACACGCCGAAATTAAAAACAAACATGGTTAAACCTCGGAAACGACGATTCCATTTCATCGAAAGTGATTAGGACACAGACTGAACAATTCCTTGAACTGTTTAGCCGGACTTTGAACTTTTTTGCATCTTAAAGATGTGAAGATATCATTGCATAATTTACTATTATTTTGATCGTACGCGGTTGTTTTGACCGAACGCAAGGTTTGAATAAATGATTTTTGCACTTGACGCGCGCGCTTTGCTTATGTTTAATTATGATAAGCCATCTCGTATTTTTCCATGTATATTATTAACACGTAATCACATGATTTCGAGCGCAATTTGGAATAAACAATC